TATTTTCAAAAAAGAATGGGAAATATTAGAATAGCAAATTAGGAAAGGGTAATGATGTTTAAAACGTTAACTAATTAATTCGGGGTCTACATTGAAATTTTTAAACAAGGGGATAAAAGTTTTGATTCATCCGATTATGGAAAAAACTAATAAATCAAGACAAAAAAGAAGACGAAGATTTGACACAATAGCCTGAACTTTGTATAGATATATTAAAGCGGGCAATGCATTAGTTTGAAGAGTTGACAATAAAATTAATAGGAAAATTCCGAATTTATTTTATTACTCCCATTATATTTAAATAATATTTAATTTTTTTCATTTCGTTAAGAGAGAAATGAGTGACAACAAAGACACCAGAGTCCTGATTCAAGTAAAATTTTCAGATCCAGACAATGAATAATAAAAAGAAACTAAAACAGATTAAATCAAAAATATGTATTACAAAAAAGAAGCCGCAATGGCGGTGGGGCTGATGCCCATAAACTAAAGTAATTGAAAACGATAAAGAGAAGGAAAGAAATATCGAAAAAATTAGAAAACATACCGTTCAATCCTTAAACTGAGTGAAGCCAAAAATAAAAGAATTAATAGAATAAATAATAAATTGATTGGAAGAGGATGAATTTATAAAGATGAATTTTTTAACTCTATCCAAATTGTAATTTTTATTCCTCTTCGACAACGTCTCTTCGAGACCCGAACCCTTCTGGGTTCTCTTTCCATCATTACTGCATAACGCATCTTCTCGTTTCGTGGTTGTTGTTTTTAATCGTTCTTGCATTCATTTTTATCATTCCTCCCTTGTTATGATTCGTGGGTAAATTTGAGCTTGTGGGTATCCATTTATAAAAATAAAATTTTGTATCAGTTATTTTATCATCATTTTATTAAGTTCATCTTTTAGTTAATTTGAATGATAAGAAATTTTTATTTTTGAATAACAAAATTCTCTTAAAATTACTACAACATTGACATTTAGACAAAACAGTAATACGAAAGAGGAGGAAGGCATTTATGAAATTATTTTGAATAACTGAAGGTGTCATACGTCACCATGTTTTCATCATGGTTATTAACTTCTCTTTAAAATGATGACAACATGACATTTTAGACAACAGTCCAGGGAAATTTGATGCAAGTCCAAAAATAAAGTTAGTTTTTAAAATATTTTTATTTTTTTATTCCTATATAAATGACAACAAAAACAACAACAGCAACTATATCGTTTCTGATGAAAAAGTTATGATTCATTAGCTGAGAATTTTAGTTGTGGCAGAAACTAAAACCCTCAACGAAAAGAATTGGTGAAACAAGATTGATTTACATTAACTCACCTCAAACAGATGGAGGAAGTGGAAGGAAACTGGTTATGGCTTTATTTATATAAATAAAATTTCAAAAATTTTTTTAAAACCGGGGGATTTATTAAAAAGAGATGTTTTGAATCAATAATCATACAATATGAACTTAAAGAAACAGTTAAAAAACATTCTATCAAAGACTTATACGGATAAAGATGTATCGTTTTAAAACCGTTCAGGAGGTCTTCACATTTTATCTGTTAAAAACACTAAATTTCTTCTATGCAGTTTCGAACAGATGATTAAATCTTATTCCTGCAATTGATTATTGATACGTATTCATGAACTTCTATGTAGATTCAAAAGCGTTCTTTAGGGTTATGGCTGATTCCAAGGAGTCGCAGAATCTGCAACAGAACCAATCAAAACATACTCATTCATTCGTGGAAGTTATGGGATTCAACAATTAACTAGAACAGTTGAATGATATATTAATTGATTTGAATATTTAAAGTTAAGAGTTGAACAGAAAGAACGAAGAAATAAAGACTATCATGAATTGAAACAAAATGTAAACATTACGATAAACTTGCCCAGAGCATAGTTGATGGCATCAGTGATTGAAGACATAATGACGGTGGAAACATGAATTTAAGAAAAAAGAAGTTACTCATTATTCACACTGTTTCAAGCAATTAATCGTACCTAATCATTTTAATTAATGGAAGCATACGATACGTTATTAATTCTGCAGCTAACAGAAATGGCAAAAAGTAATTTTGAAAAAAGCACGCTAGTAGAATACACAATCTAATGACTTCTCCATCTGTTGGGAATGATTCTGAAACTTATCAAAAGAATATTATTGATTGGAATATTACCTTTTATTACCGTAAAGCCAAAAATACATTTGATTATTAAAACTTGATGACTCGTTTTTGATAACAGATATTAGCACCTGCAAGAATGACAATCCTTGTAAAATCAGATCAGCTCTAAAAACATTCTTGACAGTAATTGAGGATTTTATCACGTGTAATCCGTTTTGTAGATTGTGGGAAACAAATACTTCATTTCAGGAAAAGATTACAACATACACGGACAAAAATTTGATATCAAATACATTCGTCCAATCAAAACAGACCGATGTAGACTTCCGCCATGACTGATCTACAACCTACGCGGTATTCCGCGGCTGGTAGACCATAATGGTATAGTCAAAAACTCCCCAACAAACTTTCGAGAAATCTAATGACATATCCAGAACGGAAAGCTATCAAGTACCTAAATTCCTGATCATTATCAGCATTCTATTGGTAAATATTATTTGAGGAAATGCCAAATTTGATCCTTTTTTATTATACCAAGACTTTTGATATACCTCTCTCAAAAAAATAGCATTGAGTATTTGTAAGGTTAATCACATAAGGTGTTTAATATATTTAAAACAAATACCAAGTGTGATATAAGAAGTTAAGCAAAGCTATGAGATAAATTGAGATTTTTTATGAGTTTATTGAACAAAAATGATGATAAATTGCAGAATAAATACAACATTTTTAGTGAAATTTTAACCTTCCAATTTACTTTCCGTATAAAAAAAAGTAAATTGAATACAAAAAAATTAAAAATTAAAAAAATAAAATAAACACACAAAAAATATAACAAAAGTAGTTCAAACCTGTTGTTTCATTGATTCAGAAACAAGCGCTTGAACGAAATCCTCACAGAACTTTGGATTCTGTGAATTGCATGAAACGAATAAGCCGCCGAGTTTAACGAGAGGTTCGTTGACATTAGAAAATCTGTCTTCACGTGAAATCTGAAGAATTGAGTTTTCTAATATTTCAAGATATTCATTTCCATTGTTTTTCGTAACTGGACGAACAGCCATGACCGTATCAAACTGCCAATCGGATTCAACTGATTCTTCTTCGTATTCTTCGGCTTCTTCTTCTGAATCTCCGCTCATAGCAACTCTGAAAGGTCGTACATTGTCGATATATTGAATTAATGCATCGCGTTTCTTAGCGTTCTTGACAAATGGATGGTTTAATAGATCTCTAGCGCTTGGTCGAATCGCCGGGTCTTTAATGAGACATTTCTCAACGAAATCCTTGAATTGAGGACTGAAATCGCCTTGTAGTTGAGGAGGTGCATTTTGTGGAATAAGAATAAGAACTCTCTGTGGATGTAATTCTGCAAGAGGTGGAGATCCTGTTGCAATCTCAATAGCAGTAATTCCAAGTGACCACAAATCGCATTTTTCGTCATAGCCACCTTCTGTAATAACTTCGGGTGCCATCCAAAATGGTGTTCCGACAAATGTAAACGCGCGGCAACGCGATTCTAAAGATGATGCAACACCGAAGTCGGCAAGCTTTACATCACCTTCGTTACTGAGTAAAATGTTAGCTGCTTTAATATCTCGATGAACTTTTCGGCCGCGATGAAGAAAATCTAAACCCTGTAATATTTGATTTAAAACTATAGCAATTGCAGTTTCTGGCATTTTTCTAATAAGAATCAAATCACGAACAGATCCTGCGCCCATGTATTCCATAACAATCCATAATTTTGATCCGACTAAAACGCATCCTTCGTACCTAATAACGAATGGGCTCTCGCATGCTCTAAGCATATCTATCTCGCGCTGAATTTCTGTAAGGTCATCATCGGATTCTTCTAAATCGATTTCTTTAATCGCAACTGTTTGCCCTGTTTTTTTATAAATTGCTTTAAATACGAGTCCAAAATTACCTTTGCCTATCATTTGGCATCTCTGAAAATCAGAGGCGCATAATCCTGCAGTCATAATGAACCCAATATATTTATATGCAGTTTACATGCTTTTAAAAATTAAAACAATTATGAAATACTGCATCATATGTATTTTGATGTTATTTAATCATGCTATTCGTTTTTTCTGAAATAGATCCTTTTTGATAAGGAAATGATCGTTGAAATTTTTCGTTTTTTTTTTTTTTTTATTCCAAAATTGTTTTTTCTATTGGTTCATAATCTTCAAACCTGCAGCAGTAATGCATGTGATTTCATTGGTATTTCAACCTGAGAATAAATGAAATTTGGAAAATTTTGGAAATCACTGTATGAACTATTGTTTGATATATGCATATTGATGAAGTTGGTATTGCAATAATGTCTTGTTGTCACTGATGTCTGTCCTTCTTTACAGGTGTAGAAGATTATTCTCGAAATATTCTATGGTTTAGGAAAATGTATAAATTTATTACTATTAAGGATGTCAATTTGGAAGAAAAAAAAAAAAAAAAAAAAAAAAAAAAAAAAAAAGGTAGTGGGGCTTCCAGGGGCTGCGCCCCTTCTAGCCCCGAAGATGTTTAGTAAAAAATGAGGTTTTTATTCGGAAAATTGTTAGTCTTCTGGTGTGAATTCGGAGGACTCTTCTTGGATAGAGTCTTGTGTTTCCTCCTCCTCTTCTTCTTCCTCCATTGCTTCTGGGAAGAAGCCTTCTTCTGGGTCGAAAACATTATATAATGTGTAATTGAATGACACATTATATCTTTCTTTGAGTTCGCTCCTGACAAAGAACTTAGTTCCAGGAATACAGAAGACTTCTGTGCGTTGGAAAAGCTGATGTCCTGGAACAAATTTGGCAATTAGAGACTTCTTTTTTCCGAATTGTTCAGGAGTTTCCATGACGACAGTAACAACATCTCCATCTGCGAGGTCTTGTTGTTGTTCGGAAAGGTAAAGAGCAATGATATAAATGGTTGCTGCGTTGAATTCGAGAAAGTCGAATTCAAATTGTGTAGTCGTATAGCAGTCAAACCATTTTGTACAGTTGTCTCCGAACTCGTCAATGTATTCATCTTGGTCATATCCGTAACTAAAGACTGGGAATTCGGCAATTCTCTGTCGAATGACCGTTGCATGTAACGAGGAAGATTTGCGAACTTGGTATAAAGTTCTCAACATTATAAGCTTAGTAAATGTTGGAAAATACTGAAATAGACATCGCTAAGCTCAATTGGACTTGGAATTGTCTTAGTAAGTTCAATTGAACTAGCAATTGCTTTGTTCAGAACTTCACAGAACTGAGTATTGTATATAGCGTCTGGTTGTGTGTTTTCTTCGGCGTCTTTGAGATATTTAGAGCAAATTTGTTGAAGAATTTCTCTTAATTCGCTGTTAGACTTTTGGGCGTTATTCTAACAGCTGTGCCAGTTCTTGGAGGTTGTGGGGCTTTGGCTTTGGTTAGCGGTTGAGAATTGTTAATGTTGGCTTCCATTAGACAAAAAAACTGTTTTTTTCGGACTACTCATAGAAAAGTTTAAAATAAACCGTTTTCGTCAACGGTAACCCCCTCTATTTTTTTTATTTATTGAAAAGTCTCCGTTGGCAAACCGTTCCATCTCAAATATTGAATGAACTATAAACGTTTTTTGTTTTCTATATAACTTTTTTGTCCAACGGTAAAACTTTTTACACAACGGTTTTTGAGAGTCGTCGCCGTTGACTTTTTTGTAGAGCACTCAAAATAGTGTAACTTTGTCTGGACAAGTAAGGGTCTATCGTCGCTACAGGAAAAGTTACAGGCGTTCCAAGGAAGTATACTTTGAGAAGCCTTTTTCCCTTATAGAATGAGATAGGACGGTTATTTTACAAACACTGACAACACTTTGACGAGTAGTTTTTTTGTGCTGAACAAGAAGTGTCATATAAACATCTGTCAAAAGCCGCTTTTTAACTTCACTTAAAATGCCACGTAAGCTACGTAAGAATATACGTAAGAGGAAGGGAGCATTGAAACATCCAAAAGTAAAACTGACACCACAACAACAGTTGCAACAACAAATGCTGAATGACCCCACTATGTTGCAACAAATGTCAAGCAATCCTAGCTTTTAAACCGAGTTGTTGGTGCACAGAGTGGAGGTTTAAGAGCGGCACTTTTAGCGAAAATGGCAGGCTATGGTGGAGCTGCAGACGGAACAGCTATAACCCTCAAAGTCAAATGAATTTGAGTTCACTCAAAAATCAAATAACAGATGTCAAAAAGTCAAACATAGACATACAGAAGCAAAATAGTGAAAACGAAAAGAAACAAGAATATGACAGACACACAAAGAAACTCAATGAGTTAAACGTAGAGAAAAAGAAGAAAGAAGAACAACTGAAAGAACTAAGTACAGAGGAATATGCGAAAAAAGTGTCAGAAAAAGCAGCAGAAGTAGCAAAAATGGAACAAGATGTCATAAATTTGAAAAACCATACTACTCAATATAAAATACTGAAAGATGAAGAGATAAAACAAAAAGCCCTGAAGACATATATGGATAGCGATGAGTATAAAAAAGAAGTTGAAGCAAATGTAAAGGCAGAAAAACTTTTACAGTTGCAAAACCAAACCGTACAGTATGAAAACTTAGCACGAAAAGTAAAAATAACGACGCGGCTATGCAAAAGGCAATGAAAAGCGCAGAATATATAAAAGCTAACAATGACTGGTTAGATGCCCAAGCCAACGCTAAAGCAGCCCAACTTATAGGGTCAATAAGGACAAAAATACAAGCGGATGAAGATAGTTCAAATGAAGCTTTAACAAATGCTGACTTAAAGAACGCCTTCGAAGCTCTTCATAGTAAGGTGAAACAAGTGAACGACTTCTCATCTGGAAAGAAACTGAAGTCTGAAGGTTTCGAACAAAGATTAAAAGAAGTAGCACAAAATATGACGAAAATAACAGATGCAGCAACGAGACAGGCAGTTCAAAGTGCCTATGACGCCGTTAGAGCAACTGTTGTGGAAAGTCAAGAAAAAGAGTTACAACAGACCAAAACAGACCTAGTAAATGCTTTCTTAAGAACGAAAAGTCAGGTAGGACATTACGCTGCAGATGGAACATATGTGCCAGCTGGTGGAATTTATATACCACCAAACCCTCCAAGAGAAGCACCTGCACCAGGACTACCTAAAACATTTACATCGTCACATGGACACAGACACAGGCATGCACAACAACCACCTCCACAACCAGCACAGCAACCAACAGTTCAAAACCCTGCACAACAACCAGCACAGCAACCAACAGTTCAAAACCCTGCACAACAACCAACAGTTCAAAACCCTGCACAACAACCAGCACAGCAACCAACAGTTCAAAACCCTGCACAACAACAACCACAAACAGAGCAAGGACATAAAAGAAGTAGAGAACAAGGAAACCAAGAATTCTTAAAAATGCTTAAAGAAGAGTGTGGTTTCCCAGATACTGTTGACTTTAGTGACAGATATAAAGAAGCTATTGGAAAGTTCAAGGATGGAAATACTGACCCGAACCTATTTAGCTTTATGGCTCAGCACCAAAACGGATATAATCTCAAACCTGGAAAATACAAGCTCGCTAAGGGATATGATTTAATAGCATATCATCCAAATGACATGGATGAATTTACTCCGAGATATTTGATGTCAGAGCTAAATGACAATTCAACTTTCGTCATGAAACGCGTAAAAAATAGAGACGGAACGAAAGAACAAAAGCTTATGAATGCGGATGACGTAGATAGGGAAATTGTTAAAAACGGTCTCGGAATATATGAAATGCCAGCAGATGAGGTACAAGAAACTCCACAGGAAGAAATAGTTCAGATACAACCAGACATGGAAGAAATAGTTCAGCAACAACAGCTAGAAGAGCCTGAAGGACGAACAAGTCACTCCTTTGGAAACTAACTTCACAGAACTAAGATGAAGATTTGGAACAGCCGAAAAATCTTGACCCTCAACAAGAGTATGCGGAGAATATGGAATATTTCCAAGAGTCTAAAAAAAATTCGGCTGACATAGTAGAAGAATATCGAAAAATGTTTGCCGACATACAAAAGACTCCAGCACCAGATGAAAAATTCAGCATAGAATGGAAGCACTGAAAGAAAATGTACACAAATACAACAACCCTTTTTACTTACGAGCATTTAACGTTCAATCTTCGGATGAACTCGGTGAAGAATAAAGGTTAAATTTCAAGAAAACATATAGAAATGAAACATTGTTTAAAGTTCATTCAGAACCTAACCAAGATGGAAACAAACCTACTTTTGTTTCTGCAGACGATGGAACTACAATGAGATGGGGTCATAAAGAATCCAGATAGGTGGTTCATAAACTTAACACACAATTCCAAGAAGTTGTAGACGCAATGGAAGTCAATGGTGAACCAGATATAGCTGGTATTTTAAGCGCGGCTTTAATGCCATTGAAAGATATGAAACATGCAGATATTTTGGACCAGTATGAAATGAACATGGCTGATGGAAATATAACACCTGACGTTCTAGAACATTTATCTCAAAGAACTACACAGAACCATAGAGATGGTATATTTGGTGAAGAGTTTAGAAAGAAAGTTATGGACAGAGAAGGAAGAGAACCTATTGTACATGACCTTGCAAACGAAAGTTTGCAAAATGTCATAAAAACTTACTTTGCAGGCGATGAATCGAGAAGGGATGAATATTTAAGAAAACTCAAATGGACAGTACCAAATGAAATGTTAGTATTGAAAAACATGTTCCTTGACAAAATAAAACCAACTACAGAAATAAACGACGCAAGACTGAAAGATTGGGTAAAAGCTTTCCCATTCACAAAAGATATAGTTGGTAACATGGAAAGAAAACCAGAATGGCTACAAAAACATATATTTGGAAACGAGCATATTCCATATGGACAGGCACTGTTTGAAGAGCTTGAACCAGAAACTCAGGAAAGAGTCATGCAAACAATACGCGACGACTCAAATACAGACTATGACAAACTCTTTCTAGGATA